TAGTCTAAGATTTGCATGTGCCGAAAAATATCATCCTCTAAAAGGAGCAAGTTGTGAAAAAGAGAACACATTTCTAGTTTTTTTTTTTATCCCCACATATCTCTATTTGGAAAAACTGTTCGACAGTAGTGTGCCTTTCGATAAATTTATGGGTCATTTTGTTAGTTATAAAAACGTTTGTTTCTTACCGGTAATCCTTTGTCGAGGATCAAAAGTGAGCATCTTCTCAACAAGATCAATGGCGAGAGGGTGAACTTGCGGGAACTTCTCGGTGAATGATTGTCGTTTGTAAGGAGGGAGCTGCCTAATGTATCTTTTTGCATTTTCGTTCAGAAATTCCAGCTCCGCTTCAGATGGGGTGCCAATTAGCTGCAAAAAAAAAGGATCACCTTACTTTACTAATATATAATACAAAATTTGACATTGAAATAAATAAATAAATTATTATACCTCCATGAGAAGACGTAGCTGGTGCACATGATCTCTACCAGGAAACAATGGTTTACGGTCCATCAATTCCATGAAGATGCAACCGACTGACCACACATCAATGGCTGCAGTGTAATCCGACGAATTTAACAGCAACTCTGGGGCCCGATACCACCTAGTGACAACATATTCTGTCATGAAGTCGGTCTCAGATGTGACGCGGGCCAGCCCAAAATCACATATCTTGAGGTCACAATTTGCATTCAGGAGAAGGTTGCTGGGCTTGAGATCCCTGTGGAGAACATTCGCCGAGTGTATGTACTTCAGTCCACGCAGAATCTGATACAAGAAATACTGTGCAAACACAGGAAAATAGTTTTTAAGCAGAAGAATTCTGTACAAGATTGAATAACATGACTGCTCCACAGAACACAGAACACAAAATATGGATTAGAAAGAGAAGCATTTTGTTGCGAAAGAAGAGTAAAACCCAGAAAAATGCAACATTTTTTTGTTAGAGAACAGGACTAAGATAAAGCATTGACGAAAAGAATGGAATGAAATGCACCAACAGGAATAAAAACAAGCAATACATGTTCGAAAATACTTCAACATTTTTGCGGGAATCCCCCATTTTGCATTGCTGTGGTCATGCACTGCTCATGCATGTGTGGCCGGCTTAGTATAATGCGTATTTTACTAATAGAAGCGTGTAACATATTTTCTTTTTGGCTTGGCTATTGTACTCGCTATGCGACGTCGTTTCTGTTCTTGGGCTTTAATAGGTAAAACGACGTCATCACACAATCTTATGCATGAACACAATAGCATAAAAGTCGATTTGCATGTATCTTTGAGACATTATGATAAAAATAGAATATATCTTCCTTGAGATCGAGTTTCTTCATGGTATCAGAGCAAGTGTCGATCCTTGAAGCTTCGATCTGATCTCCAATGGTGAGTAATCGCTACACAGACGCATGGCCATTGTTAAACACACGAGCAACTACAAGCTCAGAAATCAAAGAGGACAATCCTCTTTTCTTAAGCTCGTTCGATCATCAAAGTATGCAGTTAGTTTCACATCTTCTCAATGGATCTCATTTTTAGCTTGGAAGCGGTCAATGATGATAGCTTTTAGTACGAAAACAAAGCTTGGATTCATTAATGGTATGGTTGAAGTTCGAGAACTGAATGATGCGAATTATGATAAATAGAAGAAAGTTGATTGGATGGTGATTTCATGGATTTTGAACTCGTTATCGAAGGATATAGTTGAAGGATTCACATATGAAGAGTCTGCGAAGTATTTAAGGATCTATGGGAAGAAATTTCTGAACAATTTGGATAGAGTAATAGACCATTGATCTATCAATTGCAAAGGAATATTTCAAACCTTAATCAGGGAAATCAACCTGTTATTGTGTATTTCAACAAGCTGAAGGAAATGCGGCATAAATTGGGGAGTTTGATGCCTCAATTGATGTGCAAATGTTATGTAGGGAAGGCTATAATGGAGCAGAATATGCAAGCTAAGTTGACGCAGTTTCTAATGGGCTTGAATGAGAGCCATGATCATGTAAAGAATCAACTACTATTGATGGATCATTTGCCTACAGTGAATAAGGCTTATTCTATGGTATTGTCAACATAGAGGTAAAGGTTTGGGCATTCAATGCAGGTGATCTCAATTCCAATGTGTGTTGTTTGAAAGTATCCGTATTTAGAAAGCATCCATCGAAAGTGGTGAAATATGGTGGAACAGGAAAGGATCATAACACAGGGCCTCAGTTTTTTTAGCCAAACAGTGGGAAGAGAAGGGCAAAGAATGACAAATGAAGAGAAGTCTAGGTTGTGTGAAAACAGTGGCAAGAATGTGCATGAGAAGACTAAATGTTTCAGATTACACGAATATCCCAATATCCCGACTGGTTTATGGACATGAAAGATAAGAAGGGAAAAGGAACTGAAAATGTAGTAATATGGTGCACACTGATGGAATTTTCAAGCCAAACGGAGAAAACGTTACACGTCTGTATTAGTAAAATACGCATCATACTAAGCCGGCTAAGAAGATAGTTATAATGGAGTGACAGTTCTGTCACTCCACACGTGCATGACCACAACAATGCAGAAATTGTGAATTCCCACACTATGGTATTGTCACTCCACACATGCATGAATAATAGATGACCATAACAATGCATAAATGATGAATTCCCACACTATGGTATGGTAAGAAGACAGGTGCCTTGATTAAATAGGTAGAGAGGGCTGCAATTGAAGAAGACAGCTGTGATGTGCAGCGATGCACATCATATTTCCACGAGAGAACTAAGCATCTCAAAATTGATTGCCACATTGTGTGTGACAAGTTCAAGGAAGGTTTTATATCTCATGCTTAATCCTTTTCTACTGCACATCTAGCTGATTTCTTCACGAAGTTGCTGCCTTCTAAGACCTGTCATTCTCGTGCAAGTTGGGTGTGTTTGATTTCTTCCACACGCCAACTTGAGGAGGGGGTGTGAGAATTCAACATTTATGCGTTGTTGTGGTCATAAATTGTTCATGCATGTGTGGAGTGATACTTATAACTCTTCTTAGCCGGCCTTCGTATAATGCGTATTTTACTAATAGAATCGTGTAACGTTTTTGCTTTTGGCTTGGCTATTGTACTCGCTATGCGACGTCGCTTCTGTTCTTAGGCTTTAATAGGTAAAACGACGTCACACGATCTTATGCATGAACATAATAGCATAAAAGTCGACCTGCATGTATCTTTGAGACATTATGATGAAATGAGAAAATATCTTCCTTGAGTTCGAGTTTCTTCAATTTTGGTCATAGCGAATATGACAAATAAAGAAATTTAAGACATGGATAGTTAAAAGAATCAGTGAAAAACCTGATTGTCGTTTCATTTTTCTGGTTAAGATGAATCCAAGCAATCTACAATAGATTTACTTATCACATACTCATGCTTTATTTTTTAAGAGAAATTTCAGTTGGTCAACACTTATATGCTTGTAATTGAAGGGCAATACTATTTGCACATTCTAGTTGATCCTGCTTTTTACCTGAAAAGCTTCAAAAAAACTATATTTATAATTATGGTTCCAAATGAATTCAACAAGAATTCATGGAAAAGATGAATTAAATAATTTAACCAAAAAATAATAATAACAATCATGAGATATACAATATCTTAAAACCCCATGCTAAGATACAAAAATAACTTCATGATTCTACGAAAACCAATGAGAATATTTGTTGACTCGATGTATGTGGAATTCCAAAAATAGTCATCAAAATAGAACCTGGCAATGTTCCTCTGACAATGCTTGGTTTGAACGGATGATTTGGTGCAGATCAGTGTCCATAAGCTCATATGCA